GAGAGGGAGAGGGAGAGGGAGAGGGAGAGAAAGAGTGAGGATGAGTATATGCGTGCATGCATGCGTACCCATGGATGCAGTTTTTCTGGGAGGATAGCCTATAACTTTCGTCAGATTTCCAGGGGGGTAGGTAATGCAAAAGAACTCTAAGGACTTTTCTGAATCAAAATTTCCCTTAGTCAACTAAAGCTTGAAAACAATTGAGCCAAATGATTTTTGTTTTGTTTTGTTTTTTGGATCCTGGGGTCTCTGTGTTCTCCAGCTGAGAGTGAAGCACATGGGCTGCCATCTCCTGTCTTCCTGGGGCTGGGGGATGGGTTGGGGGGAAGGTCCAGGCGACGGGCGGTGTGGCACAGTGTCCAGGCATGCTCCGAGTTTCTGTGGCCACAGGAACGCAAGGCCCTCTCTTTGTCCGCTCAGCAGCAGGAGCCCCAGGCTGGGGAGAACCCCCGGGGAGCTCTGGGGCCCATGGCCCTCGGGTCGTGACCAGGGTTAGTGAGTGTCAGCCTCTCTCCTGCTTGCAGCCTGCTCAACGCCAACAAGATCAACTGCCTGCGGGTGAACACGTTCCAGGACCTGCAGAACCTCAACCTGCTCTCGCTGTACGACAACAAGCTGCAGACCATCAGCAAGGGGCTCTTCGCCCCCCTGCAGGCCATCCAGACGCTGTGAGTACGCCGCCTCGAGTGCCAGCGCGTGCCCAGGCAGCAGGCGACCCCAAACGCCCAGTCACGGAGAACTGCCAAAATGAGGGCAGAGCGAGCAGGTCCAGGAGGGTTTCTAGAACCTGCCGTGAGAGTGAAAGGCTAGCATCGTGCTAGCTTACCTGTACTGAGCACTCACGCCACGCTCACGACCTTCCCTCTGTGCAAACCTTAAGCCTCGTAGCAACCCAGTGAGGTAGATGCTGTTAGGATCCCCCAGCTCTATGTGAGAAAAAACAAGGCACAGAGAGGTTAAGTAACTTACTCAGGGTGGCACAGCCAGTAAGAAGCAGGATTGGAATCTGGGCAGAGGTGCTGCTCAGCTGCTCTCTTAACCTCTGTGGCCACTGTATTCTGAGCAGCCTCCATCTCTGCTCATAACCTATCCTGCCTACCAACACCCTGCAAAGCCAAACCTCTGGCACGGGGACTCTGGGAGCAGCCCACCTCTCCGCCAAGCACTGCGGATGTCCATAAATAGTTTGGTCAGATAAATGACCACTGACTACAGATCTCGGCTTGTGTTTGATGGCTCCAGCCCCAGGCTGAGACCCCAGCCCCAGCCCGTGGCCTGGCCCTGAGCCCGGGGGCTTCTGGAATCTCGCTGAGTCATCTGGCACTCACTGGCCCCACAGCCAGAGACAGGAACCCATAAAGAGTAAGAACAGCTGCTACTTGCTGACCCCCTGCCACGTGCAAAGCATTGTGTGCTGCACTGTGCAGAGTTTTCTTACTGAGCCAGGGGAAGCGAGACCCACGCTGCTGCTCTCATGGTGCTGAGGACAATAACAGTCCCCGCTACTATATATGGAACACCCTCCATGTGCCAGTCGCCGTGCCAGCTGCTCTGTGCGCCTGGTGTTACTGGGCTCGGAGAAGTAAAGCGCTGTCTGCTCTCAGCGTAAACCCTAGGCCTGCAGCTTGCTTTGCCCTTCAGAACCGGCGTGGGCGAGAGTCGAGGCGATCAGTAGCGGGTCCTACCCCAGGTGGGGGGAGGCTGAGTCCCCAGACCCATGGCAGCTGCACCTGTGAGTGTCTTTTGCAGATAGCAGACCTCAGGCCCCCTCTCTGGGTCCTGTATGAAAGCAGCCCCCGCGTCCCCTCGGGCCTCCTGGCCCCAGCACCAGGCGGGGTGGGGGTGGGGCGGGCACCACGGGCCACTCCTGATGCGCTCCCCTCCATCTCACAGCCACTTAGCCCAAAACCCCTTTGTGTGTGACTGCCACTTGAAGTGGCTGGCCGACTACCTCCAGGACAACCCCATCGAGACAAGCGGGGCCCGCTGCAGCAGCCCTCGCCGGCTGGCCAACAAGCGCATCAGCCAGATCAAGAGCAAGAAGTTCCGCTGCTCAGGTAATCAGGTTTCGGGGCTGGCCCCACTTTCCGACCCGGAGCCCAGCAGCCCCGGAGAGGCCAGTGATCCAATCTGGAGGACAGCGAGTGCTAGCATGGCTCCTGGGGAGCGGCTTTGCAAATTAAATTGGGGAAATTCAGTTAGGCCTGCAGAAAACCAATTACCTTATGGATTTAAAATAAAACACACACACAATGAAAGCACGGGGTGGGGGGATGCACTGTTTCAGGAGGGATAGAACCCAGGCGGCAGCCTATCTCCAGGGCTGGGTCAAAGCTAGAGGCTGGGCCAGCCTGGACACATTTCCTTTTTTTTTTTTTTAGTTTCTAAAGCATGCTCCCCAAGTGGCAGATAGAGAAATATACCCCAGGCCAGGCTGCAGGCAGCGTGTAATCTTGGGGGCCTGTCATCCCCTCTAAGACCACCTTGGTATAGTCCTAGACCACAATATTATAGGTTTCACAACATTTTCGCCAGCGGCCTCCCCCACCGCAGACTGGTACATGCTGATTATGGAGAGAACAGCAAAGAGTTGTGCTCGGGAGGACAGCAAAGCCTTGCTGTCCAGTTCCCAAACTCACTCTCTCTACAAAGCGTCCTTCCCACTGTACCCAGGAAAGACACGGGGGGTGCATGGCAGGGGAATTCTCAGCTCATCTTGGAAAGAGAAGCAGCTCTCCTTGACCCAATAGCTAGGCGAACAGGCAGTTAAAAATGACTGTCATTTGTGTCATTTGCTACTGGGGGAAAAAAATCACCAGTCTGCATTGTGCTCCCAATGGTGAGAGATTGATAGCATGATGTGCTGAGACGGGCTGGAGCCAGCCCTCACAATCTGTGTGTCAGCAAGAACCTTCCTTCTCCCCGTGCCCGAGAGCGCCTCCCGTGAGTGAGTTTTGCCGGGGAGAATGCCAGCGTGGGCACCGGTCGCCGGGCGAGGACCAGCAGGCTGGCTTCTGCTTTTTGCAAGTGGTCCTTGTCCCCTAAGTCAGATTGTTTCGCCCAGGTCTCCAGGAGGCTAAGCTTGAGCTATTTTCTTCAACAGAAGCAAACACCTAGAGAGGGCTTGGGGATAATATAGGGGATTTGCGGCAGTTTGAGACGTCGTTCCCAATTGGTCTTCCCCAGAATAACAATGTCAATTTTGAGGGCAGTTTCTCGCTTGTGCCTGTGACAAGCGCTGTGCTGAGGGCTTCTGCTTTGATGTGGTTCTTCCAAAAGTCCTGTGAGGTCAGCAGGACAGGTCCCCATTCTGCAGTGCAGGGAGCCGAGGGCTCAGAGGTGAAGGGGCGCCCCAGGGTCACGGCCAGCAGTGGAGGCAGGGCCAGTCCCCAGGTCTGGCTCATTCCTGGACACGGCGCCGCGTCTAGGAGAGAAGGAGAGAGAGGACCAGCTGCTTGAATGACTTTCTTTCCCAGTCTGATGGCCCCACTCCCACCCTCTCCCCACCCTGGAACTCTTTTCTCAAGTTCCTTCCTGGAGCTGGCAGCACCTCTGGGAGGAAGATCCTCTGCCAGCTCAGAGCTGTCACCCGAGGCACAACCATTCATTCCCAGGGGCCTTTCCTGTGCCTTGCACCCCAGTCCTTCTGTCCCTACCCCTGTCTGGCCAGGGCCATATTCATTAGCTCTGACAGCAGTTATGCCCAAGAAGAGGCGCGATAAGAGGCCGAGGAAGGCAGGGTGCCGTCTGCCAGCCCCGACCCCTCGTTCTCATGGGAGTCCTGCCATGATTTTGGCTCCAGATTGATGCCAAGGCTCTGGGGGGCGGGGAAGAGAAGGAATCAGCCCAGGGTCTGAGGACTGGCATCGCCTAGGGACACAATCTTGGCAGTTGCCTAGGAGTGACCGTAGGCTGGAATTGGGGGGTGGGGGGGAGGGGTAACAAAAGAACTACATAGGAGAAGAGAAACTAGCAAGCAGACCTAGGAAGCAGAACAGGAGAGCCTCGTTCTAACTCTAGCTCTGCCCCTGCCTACCTTTGCACTGGGGGGGATCCTGGCATCTTTTCCTATGTGGTGTAGGAATGGTCGGAACTTAAAAAAAGAAACGGAGAAGGGGCAGGGTTCTTGGATTGACCCTCTCTAAACTATCGTTTTTATTAAATCAATACTATGCAGAAAGATTATTCCTATAAAGGTAGAGAAAGTTAGAGCTGTGCTAATTCTTACATACAGCATCCTACATGTTTCTATCTTCTGTAGCTGCAGAGGGAGAGGTAGAGAGAGTTACTGCTGAGCCCCGAAGGCCTTGGCTTTGGGAGACACTGGGGCCCAGGCCAGCCTTGGCCTTGTGAGAGTACAGGAGCCGCAGGTCTAAAGCTCTGTTTCCAGGGAACTCCAGGAGAAAGGAGGGGCAGGTGACATATACTGGATTTGACAGATAATAACTCTGTGTTTTACTTTCCCGTAAAAGCACCCCATTGCAAAGACAGCTGATATAATTAGGAACCAATTTGAGGGCTGCTCCTGCAACACAGAAGGCCCCTCTGTAGGCGGGGTGTCTGGTCTTCCAGCTGCCCTGTGTCTGCCTCCATCAGCTGCACCCACCGCCCTGGGCAGCAAGATCAGGTTAGAGGTGAAGGCTGCCAGCTGGGGTAATCTGACCATCAGATTAAGGCCTCCCGAAAAGGCATCGTCTGGCTGCCTGGGACCCCAAGCCCATCCCAGGGGGAGCACTTAGCAATTGGAAGATGCTGTCTGTCTTCCATCCTGCCTCCCTGATTTGTGTGTGGAGAGCCAGTCAGCAAGGAAGAAACTCTCATGGTGAGAAGTACAGAGGGTGGTGACATACTACGTCCAAAAATGGCAGGCAGCAAGATACCGCTCAGGGAATTTGAATTTTAGAGCCCTTGGGGACCACCCAATCCATGCTGAGAAGGGAGAAACTGGGGCCTACTCAGCAGAAGAGTTTTATCTAAGGTTTTAGAGTAGTATTTTCAGGACAAGCTCCAAAACCCGGGACTTCGGATGTACTGTGAACATTCTTGGTTAACTTTTTGCCTGGTCCCTTGACTTCCTTTTGTTGAGCACACCGGAGAGAAGGAGATACGTTTTAAAGGCTTAGAAGCAGGAAGGAGAAGGATGCATTTTCCCTGCTCTGGTCCTGAGGGCTTGACCAAACGTGAACGTGAAATGCCCAAACCAGAGTGCATGCCTGGGAGTCAAAGCAGAGTCAAGTCGAGGTTACAGCAGCCATCTGCAGCTGGTGAGATGGGAGGGCTTAGGAACAGGAGACCCAGGGCTGTGCAGTGACCTTGACTCACTGGCCCACCATTGCATACAACCCATGCTCTGTGGAGACGTTGAGACCATCTTGTCCCAAAAACACACTGTGGAGGAATAGTGACTTGTCCCTCCTATCAGAGGGCTGAGCAAGGAAGGTCCCGGTCACCTGGCCCTGGCCTCTCAATGGTGCACATGTCCCCTCCCAGTGGCCCGGGAGGAAGTCCCAAGCCAGCAGGTGCAGGAAAACTGCCCCTAACCTCTTCCGATAGGGATTCAAAGACTGGGCCCTCTCAGCTGGGCTCTTGGCATTCGAAATTGTTGGCTGTTCGTTCCCCCCATAAGGGGCACTGTCACCTCCTCTGTAAAAATCCGGGTTCTCAGACCATTGTGACTGTGGGTCTCCAGTCCAAAACATGGGGTCCCATTGGCTCCCCCATCTTTCTCCCTGGCTAGGAACATGTATTTTCTCTCAACACTACCCTCCGTTATACTTCAAACAATCTGGGAGGAACATCTGTCAGCCTGAGGGTTTCTGGGGACCCTGAGGACACTGAGGAGACTCCTGAATCTATCCTTAAGAAGACCATTGCAGATTGGCCAGACCACTGGGAATTGTGGCTTGTCTGTTTAAGGGGCTGGAGGAACAGGCTGTGTGGAACCCCCTGCTGCGGGGAGGGGTCACGGAGCGTGCAGAAGATGCTTCTGCGCAGTTGGATGCCTTGTCAGATCAGATGGTGTGATCGAGTGGGGTTTAGGGGCTCAGCTCAGGCCTGCGACATGACCAGACACCTGACTTCTTACCCTCTCTTGGCAAGGGCTCCTTCTGCCCCGATACTCCTGAGTACGAGCGTCCAGCAGTCTCCCACCCATTCTCCTCCCTCCCTCCAGTGCCTGCCCTGGGGCGGGGCAGGGGGCAGGGGGCTCCTGTCTTCAGAAGAACCCACTCCTGGTACTAATCGCGCTCAGTGGGGGCCTGCTCCGGCTTCCGCTTCTCCACGCTGCTTCCTCTCAGTGCTCCTGTCCTCTCTCTGACGCTGCTTCCTGACCTTGACTCTGACCGGTCGCCGTGGGGCTTTCCTTTGTGCTTGATCTAACCATGTGGTGGAATGATGGAAACGGAACATGGTTCTGTCAAGCACCGCGGAAAGCACCGCGCTCTCCTGCAGCATGGCCCGCCACCGCCGCCACCATCGCTGGACACCTCTTCTCTGCTCTGGAGCACTGCCGCCCACCTGCCCCGGTCCAGCCCCACGCAGGGCAGGGGTGGGAGGAGTCTTGAAGCACCCACAGAGCGCCTCCCCTCCAGGGAGCAGATGGGGGCTGGAATGGGCGTGGAGACGCACAGTGGGGGCAAGCTAGGACCCGTGGCCATGTCTCCTACCCCAGATGGAGCCGCCAGCCCCCTCATCTAGTCCGGATGCCCGCCGACAGGCAGAGAGATAGGTTCAAGCTCAGAAACCACCGTCGTATCCTCTTCCATCCAAAGGGAGCAGGTATACCCAAGGCTTGTGTGTCATTGTTTCATGGGAACGTCCCAGCCCAGTGGCAGCTAACCCACAGGTGATACTGCCTACGACCCACCCCCCCACACACACACCTGCCATCTCTACCGGAAACATAGGGAAGGGATGTGAACACGAGAGCAGGTGGCACTGGCGTGAGTCTGAGACTTGATGTTGGACCTGTGAGGCTCCGTCGGAGCCTGACCCCCACTCCGCATCAGTACTCTGGCCCTGATCCCCACGCAGCCTGGAGTCGAGCCTGTTCCCTTGACCTTCCGAGCACAGTTAGCATGGAGGCCAAAGTCCTGGGTTCCTTCCCTGGTGTTCGTCCCGTGCCAACTGAGGGCTGTGTAGAAACCTGCTGTAATAAAGACAGGGATCTTGGCGGCCCCCATTCTGCTTGTTTCTTGATAAGCCCCAGACCCAGTGTAACCAGAAGATTGTGTTGATGGTTCGTGCCCCGGAGTCTGTGTCCTATCCCTTGAGAGAGCGCCATGGTGGGAACCAAAGCCTGGCATCGGCCCAGTGTCAGGCTCTGGGCTCTCGCGAGGATGTGTCTCCTGTGTCTCAGGTTACTGCTCAGCCAGGGGCCCAGATGGCTGAGTCATGCAGAGTCCTGTGTACTCTCTGAATTCTTTCACCATATATTATGTACTGACTGTAGGCCAGGCGCCGGACTGTTTTACATCATTACCTTTTTTTAATTTTCACAACAACCCTGTCCATCAGCCCCATTTTACAGATGAGGATATGAAGCCTCAGGGAGGTTAACTAACTTTCCCAGGGTCCTCGGACTCCAGCATGAATGCCTTTCACAGCTGTAATACATGGCCTTCCCAGCTATGCACAGTCCCCTTGCCTTGAATTTTAAAATCAAAACGACCTTGACTTGAATTGATAGGGAGCTGTAAAGGTAAAGTTTCTTTTTAATATTCCCTCTCAAGCTTACTTCCATTCATGGAAAATAACGAGTAAGACAGAGAATAACCAGCACTATTTAAATGGGTCCTCCTCTCCAGCTTGAATATGCCAAGATCCATTTGGTACAGAATAAATCCTCGGGCCCGAAGACATTTTCTTTCCTTCTGAACAGAGGGGGCATTCGGAGCTGCTCGGTGCTGCCCCCCTATGCCTGGCATGCCAGGCGTGTGTCCATAATGGCGCCCGTCCGTCGGCACCACCACCACCCCTACCCTCCCACCCGCCACCCCACCCCCGGTCCTGCAGCAGCAGGCCGTGCCCAGCCACAGGCAATGGGCATTTCCCTCTGTGCTCAGGCACATGGTCACGTTCACAACAGACTCTGGTGGGAACAGCTGTTTGTCCAAGTGATCACCAAACTCCTGGTAAAACTCCAGCAGCCACTGGTGTCCGGTCCCCGGGCCTTTGCCCACCAGTGGATAACTAGGTGCCTGGCGATGTTCTCTTATTTCCATCCATGACTCATGGCCCTTTTCTTGTCCACATAACTCTCTTTTCCAGCTGACAAACCCCGGCAGGCCTCCTACTCCCCTCAAGTTCTCTTTCTTCTGTTTTCCTTCTTTTTTCTGTCCTTCCCATCTCAGAGATAGTAGAGGCAAAAGAAGAGAGCTCTGGACATGTGCGTTGATAGGTCCATGGTCATCAGATAACAGCGAGTCTGTGACTTCCGCTCAACAAACTGGTTGCCCCACAGATGACACAAAAATGCAGACTGTGCATGACAATAGCATCCTGGACCCAGTCCTGGCCTCTGCAGCCAAGTCCACCCAAAGAAAGGGAACTTCCGCTCCCTACCTGCCCCAAACCCATGACCCTGTTACATACATTCTCTCCTGGGGAGAGGCCGTAGGGCAGGGACTCATAATAAAACCGCGTTGCTGTGGATTTCCACCCCCCTGGTCTATTAAATCATCTCTGATCATGTACCAAGTGTCGTTGTTGTGAGCTGCCCGGGGGAGGGGAGGAGGACTCCGGGGCAAGGCCAGGAGCCGGCCAAACGCCAGGTGACATCAGCTCTCCCAAGACCTGTCTCAGCCGGGGTTTAGTTTTATGGCCCTTCTTAAAATCCTCTGAAAGCTCTCCTGTCTGAACTTACCCCAAAGAGAAGAAGCAGCGGTCTATTTCAGTTTCTCCTCTCCTACTAAGTATTTCTGGCAGTGACAAATATGCATTGAGATTGAAATTGACTTTTAAAGCTCTGGAAAAGTTAAAAATACTTTTGGGTGGTTATGAGCATTAGGCATAACAAATGGCTCCGAGAAACCCTGGGTAGTTTCAGTAATGAAATATGAAGTGATGGAGGTGGCATTACAGGCTGGCTGTGACTGGGGAACGGCCCCTTTCGGTTACGTACATACGCCATTATTAATATTTCTGGCTCCCACTCACATAAAATATTACACTCCGACCCCATCATTATTACAAACCAGGGCAATAACAAAAACAGCAGGGGGGAAATGCTGGAAAGAACACATTAGTCCGTCGAATCTAATTGCAAAATCATTTTATTAAAATGGGTCAGTGGTTCCATTGCAGAGGTCCGCCAGTTATAATCTAACTATGCTACAGAGAGCTATTCCTGCTAACTACAGCCGCTCTCACCTTGATTAAAACGAAAACACATTTAATCAGCGGCTGTCCCCAGACACGGCCCAGCCGGTGCGCATCGTCAGGCTCATTGTGTAGGAGAGCAAACTGCGCTTGGCCTTAGGTTTCTGCCTTTAACCAGCACTCGGGGTTCCTCCGCTTTGCGAGGACCCCATCGGAGACACTTCTGAAGGAAAAACATATGCATATGCACGAAACGCCCCTTCACACCATCACCACGTGGAGCCCCTGGAAGTGGACAAGAGAGGGCTATCCTTTAGCAGGGCTTGCAAAATGGAATTAGCACGCGGATGTGTCTCGGGGCAAATGGGGAAACGGCCCGGGTCAGAGGTAGTCAGGGGGACGGACTCTGGCAAGCCAAGGGCCAGAGATTTGCATAAGGCATTGGACCAGGAAGCCACCCAGTTAACCATGGGGATCCACGACAGATTTTGCTCCCAGGAGCCTGGAGGTGGAAGGTGGGGTGAAGGAGGGGGCTAGGGAGGGAGCAGAGAGGGATAGGAGACAGGTCCAGGCCCCCGACCCCTTGTTTTAGGAGAAGGTTCACTTCAGAACCAGAGACCACCAAGTTCATTCCCAGTCAGGAATTAGTACAGGTTGATAATGGGAAAACCAAGACGGTGGAAAACCTCTGCTCCCTGCCTCACTGTAATCCACAGCGGGAGCACAGCATTCAGCCCACCTCCACCAAGTGGGGCTTCATGACCCTTCCTAGAAGGTCTGAGAGGAAGGCCTTGTCAAAAAGCACGCCTGCAGCAAAGCATAGAACTAGTCACGTGGGCCCTGGCAGCATCCCGCCTGGGTTTGTCCCTCTGCCATGTACTCCGTGACCTGCGGACCTCAGTTTCCTCATCTATAAAATGGAGTCATCATAACCTACCTCAGCGTGTCATGAGGATTTAATGGGCTCACCCATTTGAATTTCAATGAATAGTGCCTGGCCCGTGGTTCATGCTCAGTAAATGTCAGCTATTATCACAAGCTACACTGAGGTTTTAGTGGCTTCCGACATGCCAAATGTTTCACTGGGTTCTAGAAAAAAACAGGAGTAGAATCACAAACATCTATACAACTCTTGACCCTTTCCCAGAGACCTTGTACTGCTTTGATCTTCCTCGCATTGTCACAACAACACCTGTGAGATAGGGGCGATTATTTCATCCCCATTTTACACGCGGAGAGACCGAGGCGAGTATGTGGCAAAGGCTGGACAAACCCACGCCCTCTGCTGCTAAAACCTCTGACCTGCCAGTGCCCCACGGGGTTCCCACTGCAGATAGGATCCCCAAGGTACGCCTCAGCGACTAGCAGGCAGACAAATGATGTTCACGCTCTCCGGAACACTTAAGAAATACCCACGGACGGGACACCTGACGTGCTAGCGGCACTCCACTGATGCGTTGGACAGACGTGGACCGGGCTCTTAATATGAGATTAACATTGTGCTCATGAAACATTGACGGTCAAATAAGACCCAAGATCCCCATCCACGGGCTGGTGTCTGACAGGAGAACCGGCTCCCCCAGTCCCCTCGGGCGTGACGCGTGGTCTCACAGAGGTTTGCCCAGGTGCCGGGGTTCATTCTGATCGTAAAGCATCTCCCCAGGGCATCTCTCGGACAGCACGTCGTGCGTCCTGTTGCCATTACTGTGCAACATCAAGAGAAATTAAATTCCGAAAACAATAAATCTCAGCTCCAACTACTTTTAGCTCATCAGAACTGGCCTTTCCCTCTAGCGAAGCAGGGCTTAGAGGGGGCACGTCTGGCCCTTACAGGAGCTGTTCTGTTCTTCACAGCGTTTTACATTTGAATTCATTACCAGCATGTTTTTTAAAAGATGATCCAGCAACCCTGAGCCAAATTCCCAAGCATTAGGGCAGTGGGCTCCAATTCCCCAGGCCCCCCACTCGCAGTACCTTCTTTCAGTATAAAACCAGGTGGCATAGGTCATGGGTCGCCATGTGCTGGGCTTCCTTTATCGTTCCGTTACCTTCTTAGGCCCCGAGGACAACTAAGCTTGTGACCGCCTCCCCTCACCTCGTTCCCACCCCTGGCATAACCCCACCTCAAAACCCCATCAGTATATCTTCGTTTGGGTTGTCATGAACATGGGCGTCGTGGACGAAGCAGCCCCCTGAATTGCAGGCCGAATTCTGTGCACTCCTCCTCCTAGGAGCATGTCTCTGACTTTCATCAGTTTCTTAAAAAGGTCCGTGACCCACAAATATGTATGAACCCACAGAGCTGGGGCATAGTTTCTGAGAGCACTTGGAGCGGTGAATGACAAAGACCAGATGGAAAGTGGGGGGCGGGGGGGGAGCACCAGCAAGGTGGCCAGGGGGCAACGCTGTGTCACTGTGTCACTGCACCCCCCACCCACGCTGCCCACAGCCTTGCCCGGTGCTGGAAACCCCGGTGACAACCCCGGTGACACTGACGCCTCTCTTTGGCCCCGCCCAGGCTCCGAGGATTACCGCAGCAGGTTCAGCAGCGACTGCTTCATGGACCTCGTGTGCCCCGACAAGTGTCGCTGTGAGGGCACCATTGTGGACTGCTCCAACCAGAAGCTGGCCCGCATCCCTAGCCACCTCCCCGAATACGTCACCGACCTGTAAGTGCTGCCCGGGCATGAACTCCCTGCTCCCACACACCCAGTCACCCTGAGCCAGCCCTGGCAGGGTCTCCTGGAGGTGGCCTCTCCTGGCTCAGTCACATGAGCACTCCTTGGCTGTCCTCTATGTCCTGGGCTGAGGGCAGACAGCCAGGCATCCCCTGGGGACAGCTTGCTCGCACCTAAAGACAGTCCGTTCATTCTACAAATATTTTACCTACTGTGAGCCAGGCACTGTGCTAGGCCCACCAGCTTCCACAGCGAGCAAAGCAGACAGTTCCTCCTGGCCCTACAAAGTGTACGGTATAACCGGAAAGGTAGATATTAAATAAGTAATTGTTATAAAGCAAGAAAGCAACTAAGATGATTAGCTATACCTGAACCTCCAGTTATCCATGCTCCTAAAGGCAGGTGTTGGTTTATCTGGAAAGGGAAGAGCTAAAAATTTGCAGCCTGGCGGGGGTGAGGACGCACGGAGGCTGACGGACCTGGTCCGACGCCTGTCTCCTCCAGCATCCCTGACATGTGGCCAGTTGCTTCTGACATCCGAGTGTCAGATTCTTTGCTATAAAATGGAGGCAGTGATCCTATCTCCTAGGGTGGCTGGGAAAACTAAGTAACAGAATGTAAGCACAGAATTCATCTTGAACCCTGGTGCAGACAAAGCTCTGGATAAACGAAGGTGGTCCTCATTATCATTGCTATTATTCTCTCTGCCTTCACAAGCCACAGGAGCACATGGCAAGGCACATCCATACATGTCCCTCCTGTTGTCCGGAGCATGTATGAATGGGCGTGGAGTCCCAGCAAAGGGATGTGGTCAGAAAGGAGCTGAGAGGCTTGGAGCGTTCGGAGAACGTGGGGAAACCTTCCTGGGAGGTTGCAGTTTTCAGTGGGACCCTACAAAAGGCACGCACATCACTGACCGTTGACTGGGTGCTGAGTATCCCAACAGTCCAGCTCACCTATCACAGGGGCCTCCTCCAGGAGGAGGAGCCTGGCCTCTGTTCCCTCCCCTCCCTCCACACCTCCCTACCCCAGACCAATGGGTAGACCCTGAAGTTTTCCATGGCTCTGTTGACCTTGGCTGAGCGTGAGGCAGCCCAGCTGAAGCTATGGGGGTCCTGCGGGGCGAGGGGCCGATGGAGGGCAGCGAAGGAGGTGCCCACCTCATCTGCTTGCTTTCCATGTAGGCGACTGAACGACAATGAGATATCTGTTTTAGAGGCCACTGGTATCTTCAAGAAGCTGCCCAACCTGCGGAAAATGTAAGTCGGCTCGGGCCCTTGGGAGACAAGGCAGAAAGCCGGGGCGTGGGGGGCTCCCTCAGCCTCTCCCCGAGCCCCGCTGCGGGCATGTCCTGGGAAGCAGGACACTAAGGCTTGGCCGTGGACACAGACCAAAATGAAGCGTCACTGTTTGAACATTGTCAGGGGTTGTGCAGAGCGTGGGTGCCACGCCATCCCCTCTGCACACCCCGGTCCCCCACCCCACACCCAGTACCTACCCCAAGGGGTGGTGGGAAGGACTCAGGAGAGGACCAGGGATGGGACATGAGGTCTAGGGTTCATGTCACTTAGTGACTTTTACCAGGTGACAGTTCAAAGCTTTGTTTTGAAATGGACTCTAAAGGCCTCTGCCTCAGTGAGGCACCTCGGAAAGGAAACACCAGCGGCTTCGCACACTGCCTGGGGGCCCTGGGGCCTGACCAGGGCCTGGGTTTAGGCAAAGGGCCACGTGCTTTGATCCTGGCCTCTCCACTGCCAGGGCTGCCTCTCGCCATACCCCTGTGCCTGCCCAGGACTTCGGGCCAAGTGCTAAAGGAAGCAGGGACGATGTTATTAATCTGTCCCGGGCCAGCGGCTGTGCTCCCGCATCCTGTGCCTCATCCCCTTTAGTCCTCCACGCCTCACCTGCCTGTGGTGGCTTCACATCCCCTCTGTGCGCGTCAGGAAGCCTGCGGGGCTCAGAGAGATCCCGGGACTTCTCTGAGAACACACAGCCTATAAGCATGAGAGCCGGCATTCCGAGCCGGGTCCTCTGTCGTCACAGGGTGAGGTCGGGGCTGTTTCCCTGTCCTCTCCCCTTCCCGGTAACCCCCACAGGAGCACCAGCCCAGATGAGGGGCTCTTTCCATTGAACTCCCGTCTCCTTGACCCCTGCTCCACATCTCCCAGCCTTAGAGTTTGGGTCTGCCCCCCGGAATAAAGGAGCTACGGCCAGCCTCATTAAGCACAGATCCTAGTTGCTCACGTGCCTCCTCGCTAAACTTGTCTTGTCATCTCAAAATCAATTCTCGCGGTGCTTCCATGGTCCTTCGTAAACATGGTCAGAGCAGCAAAACCCTTGAGCCTCCCTACACCCATGTTCCCAGCCGAAACCAAGCAAGGCCACGCTTTCTTGTTTCAGCTCTCATACCGTCCTTTTCACAGCATAGTTAGGGTCACATTTTTGTTTTTTTGCATGTCTGTGCTTCTTGTTGGCGATTTCTGTTTCAAATGTCACAGAACGTAGTGCCAAAGGGCTGCCTAGTGATCGTAAGCACAACGAGGCCGTGACGTGTCATGTGGAGGAAACACGTGTGTCACATGGCTTTGTTCAAGCACGAGTTGTCGTGCTGCTGGCTGTGAGTGCAATGTAAATGTAGAAATCAACAACGTGTGGCAAGTAAGGTGTCTACCTACAGAAATGCACATCAAGCAAGGTTACATTCTGACCAGAGGTCACAGGAAGCTAACCCCGTATTCCCCGGAGGAGCAGTGTCCCGGCATCCCCTCGCTCATGCTCCTGGTGACTCTCTACAACACAGCTACAGAGAAGGATGAGAAATGACTGCAATTCTTGTCTGTATCCTGTGCCGCACTTGCCCACCATCAGTCCCCTCCAGGCAAGGAGAGCGCTTCCCCTGCCCTGGGCAGCACCTGGATTCCACTAGTGCTGTTCAGGCTTCGTCCCTCCTTCCCTGTAACCAGGGGCTGCGGAGAGCACTCTGAAGGGACAGCTGACAGACGGGCACCCATGGGCCCTGGGAAGGATCCTGGCTGTGTGGTCCCCTGTAGCTTCAGGGACCCAGCACAAATATCACCTGTCTCCAGCCAGGAGATGTTCTTTTTAATCCAGAGCAGAGAAATACACCCCCTTTTTTTTTTTTCAAACTTCAAGATAGAAACTTGCATAGAGGTATTAATATGAGGAAAGCTGGTCAAGTGCATATTTGCATAGTAAACAGGGTCAGGTGGTCTTTGCTTCCAGAAAGAAATATGCATGCTCCCATTTTAGGTGAAACTCAAGCACTTGGAGTCTATCTTTCACCGCTCCACTTTGACAGGACTGTTTCTGTACGTCAAGGAAAAATAATAGCGCAAATACACGATAAGTGGCCTCAGCATCCAAGCCACAAACCGGAGTGGTGGGGACTGTGGCAAAATGTAAGCCCAGCTCTCAACAAAAGAGTCAGGTGCCACTCAGCTCACCCCAGTATTTCCCCTGCTGGAACGTGGGTCACAGCTGCCAAATGTCCCCACTTCTCAAGAGCAGCCAGAAAAGCCCAGATGTGAGGAAAGAACAGATAGGCCTGCCCCTTCCCTGCTGTGTGACCCTGGGATTGTCCTTAGCCTTTCTGAGCCTTAGTGTCATCATTTGCATAACAAATAAATCCACCTTTCTTGTAAGTTATGATGAGGATCACAAAGAGATAAGACAAAAGACATGGCCTCCTGGACTGGGGCGAGAAGGTGTAGGAAGACAGAGGACAGGAGCTGAGTGACCCAGGGTTACTGGTTATTGATTCACAACAGGAGTTGCAAACGGAAATGCTTTCCAGAGCCCAGGTAGCAGCACAGGTGTGGGAAGGGGCTTGGTACATGGCCTTAATAATAGTCACAATAGTAGTAAATAGCAATAGCCACTCACACTTCATTCAAACACTTTGCTCTGTGCCAGACAGCACTGCTTTTACTTCTTTTAACCCTCACCAAGAAAAACAAAAGAGCTTGGAGATTGCTTCATTTGCAAATGAGGAAGCTGAAACACAGAAAGCTAAGGAACTTGTCCGAGGTCAGAAATCAGCAAGCAGACCAGGAGCCAGGAGTGGTGACGGGGCAGGTGAGCTGGGGAATGCACACACCATACACAGGCAGTAAATAACGCGTGGGCACGCACACGTGCGCATAAATCCACATGACCAATGCCAGCCAACCAACCAGGTGACCCGATGGGGCAAATCCAGTCCCAACAGCCTACAGCTGCAGCCACTTATATAAAGTAACTTGATGGTGACGCCTTTTGTTCAGGAAAAGATCTTCATGCACTGGGACCACCCGTACACCCCGCAGAGGTGGTGGGTCGGCTGAATTTCTGCCCGTCAGAGCAGTTAAAGCCAGCTGTGCCTGTGCCTGAGTCTGTTGAGCTTCCTCAGGGTCTGCGGGGCCAGGGCCCTAAGGTCACACTCTTGAGCGACTCTGGCAGGGCCCATGGGCCAGGGAGGGAGAGCACAGAAGCAGGGGTTTAGACGCCGTGTGCCCTTCCGAGGCGTGCTGAGCCTCTGCGCCCTTGCCTGTCATATCGGAATAGTGGGGTCTCCCTGAGTATTGCTTGTGCTAAGGGGTGCAGGAAGAGTGTGAACTGTTACCCACCAGGGTTATGAGGACCGTGCAAGCCAAGGCCACTTTTCAAATGACGTCCCATTCAGAGCACGACTGAGGCCTCTCTCAGGCGACTCGCAGGTCAGCTTTCTGTGAAGGACCTCAACCAGAGGCTGGAGAATGGCGCCACCCACATGGGTGGATTTCTTGGCTGTGGTTGTGGGGTTTTTTGTTTGTTTTTTTAAAGATTTTATTGGGGAATTGGGAAGGAGAACAGACAAGTTGCTGTCCTTTTGTTCTTCAGTCTAGTTGTGGAGGACATTGCTTCACTGGCCCATGTTGGTATTATCATTACACTCTTCCCGGGTGAGGCAATCGCTCGCCAGCCATTGGACGGCCACTCACGGTGGCTCACGGCAGCTCAAAAAAGCTCATGCCAGCTGCCGGCCAGTCCCACTGCAGCCTACACCGTCGCCAGCCACTCACGGCAGCCCAGCTCCAGGTCGAGCTGTAGTTCACCATCTTAGCTGTAAAGGGTGCAGCGTCACTGGCCCTCATGTGGGATATGAACCAGGGCCCTGCTGCTCAGAGCTGGCGTCCCAAGCCAACTCTTAACCAACGCGCCACTCGTCCGACCCTGTGGTTGTGTTTTTAATAAGAATTAATTTCCCACTTTTAAAAATCAGGAGTTTGTGCAGAAAACAAAATTGGATTTCTGACATCTCGGGAAACCAGCAGTTCTGGCAGAACTGGACCCACTTCCCCAATAGGCTCCAGTTGAGTTGAGCTGAGGACGTGTGCCTATGTGGGGTGTGTTTTCCTGGTCACGGCTGTTTCCCCTGGGCTTGCTTCCGGCATTAAGTCACCTGCCTGGACCTTGTGGCCCTTGCAACCCCAGCTTGAAATAGAATTCCCACCCCAAGGGGAGGCGGAGGTACATGAGGAGGAGGACAGGACCTCCCGGCCTGACAGGGTGCCACCGTGCTTGCTCAGGCATGTCCCCTGCCCTCAGTTTCTAGAAAAACCCCTAGCTTTCTCCCTACTGCCTTTCCATCTGGGACTGGGCTTTAAACAGAGCTACAGAGCCCTTCCTGTTGCCAACAGAGTTTATGGGCTGTCTTGCAAAGCTGGAGCGAGACGGCTCTAGAAGAGGCACCGCTTGCCCCCTCAGGCTCAGACTGTCCAGAGGCGCCATGTGCCTCCAGGGGCCTCGGCGTTTCTTGGGCAGAATGAGGACAGGGTCTGAAAGGCTCACCCAGCAGCTTACAGAGGCAGCAGGGTCCAGCACTGGGTTGGTCCTGCCTCTTGCTCCTCTGAACCACGCTGGGCCTGGGGTGGGAGTTCCTGAGGCTGTGTCCTCTCCGGTGTGAGACCCCCGTCCTCATCGGAGTCTGTGTGGAAGCAGGGTTCCCTCAGGGGGGTCTGCAGAGGCCTGATGCTCTCAGTTTGTGCCTGGAGTGTTGGCTCCAAGCTGCTCCCTCTCTCTGTGCTCCAGCGCCTGGCTGCCTGCAGTTTTGAGCAGTACTTTGATGGATGGAGAGAGAACAGCAGCCTGGTCTTCTGGAAAATTCTATCCCCCTTTTGTAGTCTCCTGATGTTTTTCCATTCTCCCATCCCAAGGAAATCCAATTCACAAACCTTACAGTAATGTGATGTTAATTTTGCTCATTTAAAGAAACAGATGTCAGGAGATGGGAACCCTCCCACTTGATGGCTGCTGTAACTCACCTTCATGGCTCTGCCCAGGTACTTTAATTCCCCCACGAAGCCTAGCTCTCTGGAGCAAAATCCTCCTCCAGCGCTCGGATGAGTTATAGCTGCAAGGAGAGCCTCTCTCTCCTCCCATGTCTAGTTCGGGGGTAATTTGCAGTCTCCCCTGTGCATGACCCTCATTCCTGGGTTATCGCAGACCAGGGCTACCAGGATTTATAAGAAAACTGGCTGAGTTTATAGAGAGACATGCAGGGAGCAGAAATCCAGCATTAGTCTCCAGGTTCTCGCTGATCTTGGGGGAGGGGTTCTGAGGAGGTTTGCGCCTGTTTCCTTGGCAGGACGAAGGGGCTCGGGGTTGGGGAGAGCAGGGTTATGACAAGGAGCACAGAGGGGCACGTGATGCGAGAGGAGACACCCTGTGTCTCCTCCACGCCTGCCCACAGCTGGGGCACTGCCGCACCGCCAGGCCCAGCACTTAACTTGGGAAGGGGGCAGGCAGCCTGCGTCGAGCCCTGGGTGCCCATTTCTGCCACTTGCTCCGAGCCTGACACTCAAGGAGGCTTCACCCCCAGAGGTCGCTGTGGGTCCGCCCAGAGCTTTGAGAGGAGGGTGTTTGAGAGAGGCCAGAGTATCAGGGCCTGGTGTGGTGCTCCAGGACCTGAGCAGCGCCCTCCCCTCTCGGGCCTCAGCATGTCCAGCGGCACCATGGGCCACTGGTCCATCTCAGGGTGCTCAGCCGCTTAGCAGCTCCATCTCCACCTGCGGGTCTTGCTGTTCACAAAACACGGTCAGTTCCTGTGCGTGGCTCTGACCGGCTTTTGGCTCGGGAGGCTGGATTCCTCCCTCAGCTCGTGTCAGCGCCATCACTTCCTGCTCCGTCCATCCCGCCTGGGATGCCTTCAGGCCTGGACATTGGGGTGGCCCATGGAGAGCCCGGAAAGCATCTCTGCGGTGCTGCAGGACCTGCCTGCTGTTCAGATGTCCTGTGAGGCCTGCCACATGGCAGCTGGGCATCGGAGAGAAGAGCATGCTCTCAGTGATAGGACCAGGTCCACTTTAGGAAAGCACCAGACCCCGAACTCGGCAAAGTAGTAATCTAAGGAAGCTGGTATCCACATCACCAAAGGAACAGTCACTGAGGGAATAGACGGTTCACTGGAGGACTTTTCATGTGCCCGAAAGCCTGGCCTCAAATCCCAGTTCCATCAGCTGTGTGACTGTGGGCCAGTTACTTAAACTCTCTGAACCTCAGCCACTTCATCCATGAAAAGAGACGACGCTAAAAATAATATCCATCTGGTAGGCCTTGTTTTGAGGATTTGATGTGATCCTGTTGGCCAAACCCCTCACTTGGTATCTAGAACATAGAAGTGCTCAAAGTGTGATGACTAGAAAGCATCCATTTATATTCAGGGATCTCAATTGGTGAGAGAGTGAGTTCTGCAAATGCCCCACCCCCTGGGGGGAGCCTATCTTACAGTTTTCTCCTGCCCTCAAGAATTCTTGAGATTCACTGCTTAGCGAGAGTGTCTGTTGAAGAGGGAAAGTAAGTTTGAGAATCAGTGCTTTAAACCTCCCAGTCCCCAGAGCATGGAAAAGATGATGACCCTGAAACAACTTCAAACCCTCTCAGTCGGCTTCACAAAGGTAGCCCCACCTGTGTGAATGGGGGTCCCTGCTCCCCCGAGCACAGGTGCTGCCAACCAAACAACAGGGAGTTCAAACCCGAGCTCCCACCTTTCAGTCCTCACTCCAGGGGCGCCTGAGGGTCCCCAGCTGGCTGCAGGGCTGGTGGTCCCCTCTCTGTTGTCTGTCCTGACCCAGTCTGTCCCTTCTTCCAGAAACCTGAGTAACAACAAGATCAAGGAGGTGAGAGAGGGCGCCTTTGACGGAGCCGCGGGTGTGCAGGAGCTGATGCTGACAGGGAACCAGCTGGAGACGGTGCACGGACGCATGTTCCGTGGCCTCAGTGGCCTCAAGACCCTGTGAGTGCCCAGGGCCGGGGCCAGGGCCGGAGGGCGATGGAGGGCAGGGCATCGGAAACGGAGCGTGAGGGCTGGCGGGCAGCAGATCGGGCCTGGCCTGCTGAACCCTTCCTCCCAGAGCCGTAGTGGCATCAGACATTTCCCAGCCTTGATAGGAAAGAACTTAGCTAAGCACCCCGCGACACACACGCACACTCACACACGCACCGTGGCACTGCTGTGGGAAGGAAGGACTCATGCCTGTGCTCTCTCATCCCCACCCTTCTCGCTTCAGGATGCTGAGGAGTAACCTGGTCAGCTGTGTGAGCAATGATACCTTTGCTGGCCTGAGCTCAGTGCGACTGCTGTCCCTCTATGACAATCGCATCACCACCATCACCCCCGGAGCCTTCACCACGCTCGTCTCCCTGTCCACCATGTAAGTCCTCCTGCATCCACGGCTCATCCACTCTGGGCTCCTCCCCTGCAGACCTCTGGCCTCCCAGCTCCTTGCCCTTTTTGGTCCAGGTCATCTACGCATCTGTCCACTTAATAAAAACATTTGTCAGGCTCCCTCCACGTGCCAGGCACCACCTAGGTGCTGAGGATACACTCACATGGTCCTTCCTGGAGCTCACAGCGTAGTGAATCTCCACCAAAGGAGGCCCACAATGTTATGAAACCCCACCATGGGCCTTGTTGAGGAACACGGGGGCTGTGTCCTGGAAGGTAAGTGGGATCTACCTTGTTCAAGAAAGCAAGAAGCGCATTTCCCCCGGGGGAAGTGCATGTGCAAAGGCCCTGTGGTGGGTGGGAGCAAAGCAGATGGTCATAGCATGAGTGACAGAGGGCATGCTGTGAGGCCAGGTGGGAGAGGAGTCCAGGGCCAGGTGGCAGGATTGCTGTGGGCCACTTTGGTCCCCATCCAGAGTACATCAGGAAGCCACTCAAGGTTTTAAGCAGGCCGGTGACATGAAGCAACAGGGGTTTTTGAGTGATGTCACTGGCTGCTTAAATGTGTATCAGAACTAGAGTTCAAATTTAGCTTTCTGGACACCTAAATAAGTGCTTCTTCCTGCCCAGGTAATTCAATGTATTGGTAAAGGAGGCTGTTTAGAATAAGAGTTAAAACATTGGGTGCGAGCTGGCCAAGTGATTCAGTTGGTTAAGAGCTCACTCAAGAGTGTGAGCTCTGAGCAACAGGGTCGCTGGTTCAATTCCTGGCCTGAGCTGAGCTGCCAACAGGTGGCAGGATGGCTCAGCTAAAAAAAAAAAAAAAGTTGGGTGCTAGAGCCAAATCTCCTGGGTTCAAGTCCTGGCTTTGCCTCTCATAAGCTGCGTGACCTTGGAAAAATTACTTTCTGTCTCTGTGCTGTAATTGTGCCTTCTGTATAAACTACCTCCTAGGGTTATTATGAGGATTGATTCTGTTATTATTTGTAAAACACGCAGCAGGGGCCTGAGCTATAGAAAGTACTCAGATTTCATGTTAGCTTTTATGTTTGCTCATCATTTTTCCATGTGGTTCTGTTAACCTCAGTTGCTAGTTCATTCTCCCTCTCTTCTCTTCCCCAAAGACTCTTTAAAAGACAGAAGTGAAAGGCCCCTTGTATGCAGCTGTTTTGTTGACTGCTCTATCCTCAATGTCTAGATCTGTGCCTGGCGCTAAGTAGATACCCATTGTTTAATTGTTGAATAAATGGATGAATTGAATGAATGAGTGACGTCGAGATGGGGGACAATGGGTTAGGAACTAGCTTCAGTGGTTGGTTCATTTGAGCCCACACCTCGCCCCTCCCAGGTGCCTCCATGCTGGGAATCCAGAGATACGTGACAGTTGCTGAGAGGGGTAGAGTCACAAAGGGCTGAGGGAAGTAGCTTGGACTCGGGAAGCAGCGTGCCCAACTTTGCACAGCTACTGAGTGTCAGAGCCAGGACTCAAGCCCAGCCATGTCTGACTGCCAGGCTCTCCACTGCCATGTCATATCATAGCCCCTCGAGGGCCATGTGGCCCTCTATGCAACCCCCTAAGCTTTGCTTCCCTCATTTGTGAAACGAGAATAGTGTTAGCTGCTTCCTAGGGTTCTTGTGACAAGTCTGAGAGAGAGAATGGATTTATAAAGTGCTTCTTGGGGGCCGGCTGTGTAGCTCAGTTGGTTAAGAGCTCGCTCAAGAGTTTGATCTCTGAGCAACAGCAGTTCAAGTCTTGGCCCGAGTTGAGCTGCCGCTGAGCTGCCAACAGGTGGCAGGATGGCTCAGCTAAAAAAAAAAAAAACTAAAAAAAAACTATAAAGTGTTTCTTCTGGTTCCAGTGCTCTAGGACACACTCAGAAAGTGATAGCTGCTATCATCCCTTCATCCCTCCATCCACCCAGTCATTGCATCCAGCAGGTGTGTTTGGAGTGCCTGTGCTGATGTCACGCTAGTGCCGGGAGACACAGAGGCTGACACAGACCTGGTGCCTCCCCTCTGGGGACAGAGGGTGCATGGAGGGTAGCAAACACTGGACAATCATTCCCAGCTCTGACAGGTGCTATGGAGAAAGTGAAGGCAAATGAGGGAGAAGAAAGAGACGGGGGACCTTTTAATGTCCCTTTAGATGCGGGGCTCGGGGAAAGCTTCTTTGACAGAGGGTCTCATCAGCTGTGGACTGACGGATGGTGGGGGGGCGGGGACGGGACAGCCAGGCAAACAGTAGAGAGATCCATCCCAGGCAGGAGGAGCTGCATGTGAAGGCTCTAAATGGGAGAGACTCTCTGATGAGGAACTGAAGGCAGTTCTCACAGCTGGAGCTCAGCAGTCAGGGGAGGACGTGGCAGGAGACCACGGGCATGGCCATCGGAGGCGGTCTGGAAAGACGCACTTGCAAAGACTGCATCTGGATTTTAGAAGAAAGTCTGCATTCCCCTTCCCAGCCCTCCCGCCCCCTCTCCTTGGACCCAGGGCGGCCCTGCCTGGAGAGCTGGGCCCTCGGGTGGCAGAACAGGACCCCCGGCCAGCTCCCACAGTAGGAGGCGCCACTCAGAGGGGGCCCTTCTCTCCTCCCAGAAACCTCCTGTCCAACCCCTTCAACTGCAACTGCCACCTGGCCTGGCTCGGCAAGTGGCTGAGGAAGAGGCGGGTCGTCAGCGGGAACCCCCGGTGCCAGAAGCCATTCTTCCTCAAGGAGATTCCTATCCAGGATGTGGCCATCCAGGACTTCACCTGCGAAGGTGAGAACGCAGCGGGCAGGGCAGGGGGCCATATCTGGGAGGGCAGGAGAGGAGAGGCCTGGCGGGTCCTGAAACTCAGGACCTCTTAAGAGCTGACTACTCTGCCCTCGCAGGCAGCTGGAGCTGGAGAGGGCTCTGCAGGCCTGTTGCTGGACCACACGGCTCCTCTGTGCAGATTAAGAACGGTGCCTCTTTCTAAACACATTTTACTTCTGTCAGTCACAAATGTGTCATGATACACCGATTTTGTTAAAACCAGACACTTTAGAGCCACCTACTAGAACGCTGTTGAACCAAATATCCCTGTCTCCCATGTCCACTGTGAGATTGGTGCCCAAGAGGTGATGCAGTGCCCATGAGATGATACAGCACCCTTGTGCAGTACACAACCTACACAACTGTACATGGAAGCCCTGGGCCTCAGTTTTCCTGCTGGCATCATGAAGAGGCTCAGAGTGTGTGTGAATGAGAAGCACGCTTCAGGACGAGCTCCTGGATAGTTCCTGTCACTGGCTAAGGTGTATGAGCACCTGGGGAGCCAAGGCATTGGGTGTCAGGATTCCAGGGGGTATATTTGTTTGCGTAAATACAAGCCAGCACAGTTTTTACTTGGTCAGCTTTAGGTTATCTAGAGACAGGTTAACTGGTTTCTAGATTCACTGAGTTAAGGTATAATGGGGGCTGGGGACGCAGTCACCGCACAGAGGGATTGTGTAATGGAAGGGGAGAAGGAAAGGAGGAGAACGGGGGAGGGAGTGGACAGGGCTCGGCCCCGCGCCTCAGCCGCTCCTTTAGTCAGCTTGGTTTATTCCTGGTCGAGCTAACAGTGACGGCTTTCCTATGTAATACTCGGCCCGTCGGGATTTTAGTCTTCATTTCATGTTAAGTGTGGTAGAAGATAAAAGCCCTACTCCCCGACTGGCATGTATTCTTTCTCCTCCAACCACGAATGAGACCAGCAGGCTCCTGAGTCCTGGTCTGGCTCACAGCCGAGGGCTCCCCTTTACCGAAGACAGCGTGGTCCCAGCACCTGGCCTTGCTCACCTGTTCCCACTATGGGAGTCTGTCACCCGCCATGCTGACTCTGGGGCTCTCCACAGGCAACGATGAGAGCAGCTGCCACCTGGGCCCACGCTGCCCCGAGCAGTGCACCTGCGTGGAGACGCTCGTGCGATGCAGCAACAAGGGGCTGCGTGCCCTCCCCAAAGGCATCCCCAAGGACGTGACTGAGCTGTAAGTACCACCCCCCACCCGCCCCCGCTGCACACACTGGAGCCCGCCCCACCCACATCCGCCACACTTTACCCGTGGTGTCCCACGCAAGGCTTCCTGGGGGAGCCCCACTTGAATGGATCCCAGTGAAAGGGCAGCAGAGCCTCGGCCAGGGGACGGCAGCAGCTTGGACATGGGACAGGAAGCACTCCTCCCCTATGCCTCTGCCTGGCAGGTGACAAGTCTCTGACCCTCCAGAATACAAGTGGGAGGGTTACTGTCTCTTTTTCTCTATTCCCCACATCAAACCCCTGCTCTGTACTCTGCCCTTCTACATTCCCCAACAATCTCTCAGTCTGACACCGGACACAGCACAGGATAATTGTCAAAACATCACCCAGCAGGCACTACGGCTCACCAAGCTCCTCGACAAATATGACTCGTTTCCACCTCAAACAACCCATTTCACAGACGCGATCTGAATCCTGAGTCCAGTTCAGTGTCCACCCAGGAGCTCTCTTATTCCACAGCCCAAGTTCCTGACCCATAAAACTCCCAGTTAAATGAAAGAGATGTTGTTCCTTTCCTGTGGGGCCTTTAATATTGTGAAGAAAGCCTGACTTCTGCCCCTGGAAAGCCCCACAGCCCCACAGGCAGGGTTCTGTCTGGAACGTACCAGCAGCCACCGCGCACTCGCACAGCCCACACAAGCCACATCCATGCTTACACTCCTTCCTTCCTCACCCATTCACTCAGCACATACTGACGGGGTGCCTCGTGTGTCAGGGACTCTGCTAACACTGGGGAGACCGTGGGGAGCAGAACGGGTGTGACCCCTCCTCTCGTGGGGCTCACAGTTTACTGGGGAAATCGGACAATTGCTCCATCATCTCAGAGGCTCCTGTGAGCTGGCAGCCATGAAAAGTGCTGCTCAGAGGAGAGAGGAGGATGCTGTGGTGTGGTAGAGAGGTGTGACTTCGCTGTGACGTTCAGAGGAAGCTGCCCTGGGGAGATGCAGCTGGAGCTGCGGCCTGAAGGGCGGGGCGCGGGTGAGAAGGGCGGGAGGGCCACTTCGCAGGGAAGTCACTACTTGAGCAAAGGGCCTATATTAGGAGTCGGCAGAGCCCGGAGAGGAACTGATGGAAACCCAGAGTGCCTGAGACACACACACACCACCACCCACACCTGAAGCTTGCACTCTGCCCGGACCCCAGGCACAGCCCCTCCTCCGGGCCGGCTTAGCCTGTGCCCTCAGACCCAAGCAACAGTATTCAACCCAGACACCTCCCTGTGAGGGTTTCTCTGAGGGACTCTGCCATTGCCTCCTGGGGCGGACTCTGAGTGTGCCAATTGTCTTGGAATAGCAGATAGGTCCCTGCGTGTGTGTTGCAGCTCCTGGCATCTCCTGACACCCAGCGAGGCTGTAACCAGGGCTGCCGGCCCAACAGAAGGAATGGAGGTCTTGACAGTCACTAAAATATCTGTGCTGGCCCCGGGCTGGGGCTGAGGCCATGTCCTTGGAGATCTGTGTGAGCAAATGCCGCTCACGCAGTGCGCCCAGGCCCCTTCCTCAGCCGGCTGTGCCGTGGGTGGGGGCTGCAGAAAATGACCCCAGGTACTTGCCTCCTTCTTGGGCTAATTGAGTGCCAAGTGACACATGTCAAAGAGAAATGCCATGAAAACAGGCCCGCGGATACTTTTCCCCAACGCTCATGAAACAGAGATTGAAATAACAAAGATAATTGGCTGTAATTATAAAGTAAACTTCAGAGCTTTGGGGGGAGACCTGATTTCCTGCTTTGGAAATGATGGCGCTTCCCTCAGCCAGACGTGGTTTGCACAGCTCGCCAAGGAGAGCAGCCCTCACCTCTGTCCCCAAACCATCTCCTGGAGGGGAGAAGTGGGGGCGGAGAGCAGGGAAATAGATGCCAGAGAACGGGAAAGCTGGCAGGCCCCCGGGAAACTGGCTTGGAGGCCTGTGGTTTCGGGACATGGCTGAGTCCAGATTCAGTGTCTCCAGTGCTGGCTTCACAGCTCCCTCAGGCATCATTAGTTATCTCAGACAGAGCTGCCAGCTTCCAAAGCAAGGCTAGGTTTAATTCACTGAGAAGGAGAAGAAACAAAGTTGCATGGCGTTTCTCCAAAGGGCAGGATGTGCGAGTCTGTTGCAAGCACGAGAGAGCAGAGTGGTACTGTCCACTCTGTGGGAAGCGATTTTCCTGCGTCCCTCTGCCGGCTCCCACGGCCTTTCTCTGTGTCCCCTCCCCGCTCTGTCTTCCTGGGGGAGACAGGCCAGGCTGAGAGCTGCTTCCCTGGCATCTGCTCACTCAGTCCCTGTGTGTTGTCGCATTGTCGTTGAGGAAGGGCTGTGGTACCACGTGCCCTCTTTGTCACCATGAGCACCTTCCAGAGAAGTAAAAACCACACCCCAAGCCTCCCCTTTGGGAAGCAGCCCAGTCAGGATGAGAAAACAGTTGAATCTGACCTCAGATCTCACGCTCGCGTCCATTACCCCAGAAGCTCTTAAATTTTTAGGTCTCAGGGCCCCTTTATGTTTTTCAAAAGCATCATCGACTCTAAGAACTTTTGTTTACGTGGGTTCTATCTATTGATGACCATCTTAGAAACCACAACGAGACATTTTTTAAATATAAATTTATGAATTCATTTAGAACTAACCATAATATGCCCATTACCTGTTTATATAAAAAGCATACTTCTACGAAAAACAAACCAAAAGAAATTTAATCGAGAAGAGCAACGTTACATTTTTACTCATGTACTAGACAGCTGGATCTTGATAGTTGCTTTAGCATTCATTTCTCGTGTGATACATTGTTTTGGGTTAAGGATAAGTAAAAAAACCTGGCTTCACACAGACATGTAGTTAGGAAACGAAGGAGAATTTTAATAGCCTTCTCAAATCATTGTCCATATTCTTCTTTGATGATACTCCAAAACCACACAGCAACAGTTTCTTAAAGGCTAGTTGCCGTGTGGAACTCGAAACCATACTCTGTGCCATTAAAACCCCCTGGCCTCTTGCACTTTGAATGAAATTTTCTCCCAGGTGTGGTCTTGTAACAGCACGCAGTGGTCCTATGGATTTGCTGCGAGTTATGCAGACCTTCCCAGCATCAATGCATTGCATCATATAATATAAAAAATGCCACAGCCGTTAATAGCACTGCCCATCTCATCAGAAAAGCCTTTCCATAAAGGGATGCTGTCAAGCTTGATGTGGCAGTTACAAGCTTTCTAAAATTGTAATTTTCACTTGGAAGCTCAAATTTTATCATTGCCAACAAATACCGTCCGTAGTTTTTCTTGAAGTGACAGACTCACTCTGTTTGTTTGTAAGAAATTGCTCACTCTGTTTGTTTGTGAGAAATTGTCTACTAAATATTTGTCTCGGGATAACCTGTTTGCTAGCTGTACTTTTAAGTAAAAATGGTGTTTTATGGCAGCGGGGAAAAGAGAGGCTAGTTCAGCTTGTAGCACAGTATTCCTCAATACAACCAGTATACTTCATAGGCAATACAGAGCCTTGATGCACACTTCCCATTTCGTCACACAGAATATTAAAAAGATGTGTGCTCAAGAGCTGAGATTTAATGCAATTAACACTTTTTTACCGCATCATCAAGGGCATCCTTAAGTGAAACTGGCTTTTTTTTTTTTGCCCCCTGCAAATGCACGGGAGGTGAAAAATGTAGAAACCACTGATACCATTTGGTGCCACTGCTGTGATTCACGTGGAGGTGCCAGAAATGCGACTCACACCGTGCAAAAGGAAAACAATTTAATCTAATCACAAAAATAGTTTGAGCCTCAGAGAACCCTGAAAGAGTCTAGGGGACCACCAAGGGTCCATGGGCGACACTTTGAGAACCATTCAGGTCATTACACAGGATCAGGCGAAGAATACATAGAGACACGCACGAGAAGTCAGCAGTAAGCTCCTGACTTAAAAGCACGCCGACAAAGTCTTAATGAAAGCAGAGCAGAGCAGATGTGGGGCATCTCAGCCCACAAGGTCACTGACACAAATACTCCGTGCAAAGGTAGGGGCTCCTCGGCGTCAGAAAGTGCTATTATTGCTGTGCCCTGAGCCTTCTAGATGCAGGTTGCCACTGTGGAACAACTGAAACCCAAAAATCTGTGCTCCCGTTTCAGGGAGCAAACATCAGGCCTTACGAACACCAGGCTTCCTGGTTCTGGAAACAACTCCGCAAGCCCACATCTCCCTGAGGGCTACACAGGAAGCCAGAATCCCCCACCTTCCCCTGCACCCCACCAGGCCACTCCTGGCTAATAACCCGCAGGTTTTGATACTGATTTTGGTCTGAGGACCTTGACCTTGGATTTGCCGTCCTACCACTGATATCCCAAGGAGAGGAGAAGGGAAGTATGACATATGTCGCCCCAGGCACAGCTGTTGGAAGAAGAGATTTCTATTGGGGTCTGAGGACGTCATGGGAAACAGGCTGGCATTGCAGGCATGTGTGTGCGCACAACACACACACACACACACACACACACACATACACACGGCACTGATAGGAGACTGGTAAGGGATGGGGCTTACCCAGGAGGACACAGGGCTGAGATGCAGCTCTTTGAGAGTGAGTATGGCAGGAGGTGACGAGAATCACTGACTGAAGGAGACGCCGGGACCTGGCCTGGTACTGGGTGTTTCTAAGGGGGTAGGGAATGGAGGCAGCTCAGACGAAGCTTTCTCCTCATCTCACATCCAATGAGGGTGATGGAGATGCACGCAAGACAAGGAGCAGAGCCCTGCACTCGGTAATGAGTGCAAATGAGTGGCACAGACAGTGTGTACTCTGGAATGGGTGGGGGGGGATCCAGGAAATCCCACCCACCCAGGGCCTTTAGGAAAGCAGGGAAAATGCCCTATCTGCATGAAATTCACAGTTAACCACATATAGAGCATTTACTGCGTGCCAGGCTATGCTGCATTTTTTTCTTATGTGATCTCATTTCATCCAACAACCCTCCGAGGCAGGTGTTTTTACTCCCATTTTGAAGGTGAGATAACTGAGGCTCAGAAAGGTTGAATGATTTCTTAAGCTCACACTGCCAAGAAGCAGCAGAGCATAGACTCAAGCCCAGGTCTGACTGACCCCCAGGCTATCCCTTAGCCACTAAACTGTCCCCTCCCTTTGGCAGAGGCCCAGGTCCCTGTGTGCTCTGCCCAGTGGCCTGCCTTATTGGGGATTTATGGAAGTAGCCACAGGTCTCCTTGGAACCTGCCACCTGCATTTAAGCAGGGAGAAGGCAAACCCAGCAGGCCTGCCATGATGCTGTACGTACCTGTCAGTGGTTCCATCTGGGTCAGTCCTGACAGCTGGACCAGCTTTCTGTGCACCGGCCCCCACCCCGTCCCCAGCACTGGGCAGGCTCCCCGGAGACTATAGTGCAGCCGCCCATCACTGACTGCATCCTTGCCTTTCTCTGGCCCAGGGAAAAGGACAGGAATTGCCGGAAGCCAGCCGGAGGGATGAGCGCATCTTTGGAGAGCAGGCTGGCTTTGGACGCAGCAGCACTTAGGAGGCCTGGTACAGGCTCTGAGAAGCCCTTAGCAGGTGGCTTCCACAGAGGACACTTCTAGGCTCTTGGGCAGTCATGACCATTTGTGCGGGGCACTGAGAGAGGCCTGAGCACAGGCTGAGAGCTGAGAGAGCCCCCTTCACTCCACCAAGTGTTTATTCAGTTTATTGCTCCAGAGACTGTCACGGGAGCCGGAAGCACAGCAGCCACAGGGACAGATAAGCTCCCTGATCTCAGAAAGCTGGAATAGGGGAGAAAGACTCTAAGAAAGCTAGCAGTGAACTAGGCATTTCAGACAGGAAGTAGAATGGTATTTCCCAGGGAAATAGAGGGGGGAGGAGTAGAAGGAACATGCTTTGTGAAGACTGCAAGGCGGTAAGATCTTAAAGTCAGGAGCGGGAGGGCCGTGAGGGGGAGCAAATAGAGTGGAAAGGAGGGTGGTGTGCGCGGAAAACAGGAGTCGGGATGCCGCTCTTTCTCCCAGGAGCAGGCGGGAGCCAAGGAGGGATTTGAAGCAGGAAAGGGACGTGGCCCTTTTCTCATTTCAGAATATTACTCCAGAAGAAAACTAGAGAATAGACAGCAAGGGGGTGGCAGTCTGCCTTGCAGTAATCATGTGTATTACTGGATGGAGTTATGTGTGTGTGTGTGTGTGTGTATATATATATATATATATATATATATATATATATATATATGTATATAGTCAAAGTGTATTGAACACTACTGTCCAGGCACTGCTCCAAAACTTTTCACAGACACTCTTCTTTAATCTTCATAATCACTTTTAGGTGGTGGTTATTATAAGCCCCATTTTATAGATGAGGAAACAAGCTCAGAGAGGTTAAGTAACTTGCCCAAGGTCACACAGCTGTTAGCTATGTGAGCCTCTGCTGCCTGACTCCTGAGGGGCCCCTGCATCACCCCAGGCCGTGTGGAAATCCTGGCGTGGAGTGGGGGCTCCTGGAAGGTGGCTGCCCTTGTCATTCACCATTCAGCAGGTCCTAGAGGTTTTCGTTTGTTTGTTTGTTTATTTTTGGGGGAGGAGGGGGGCACCTGTCAGCACCACAAAGCTCGAAACAGGACTGGGGAACACCCATTCACAGAGATCTTTGTGGATTTTCATGCGAGGCAGACATGTCCTCCTGTGCTAGTTCTGGGGCTGAAACAGAGCATTTAAATGCAGGTCAACACGAAGGTTAACCCACTGGAAATGCTCTGGTAGTTCTAAGGCTGGTGGGGTGGGAGTGCAGTCTCCTGAAAGCGTTCCTCCGGGACCTGGGCTGCAAGCTGCAGACAACTTTGGAGCCCAGAGTTGTCACAAAGGGCTTCCTACAAAGAGAGCTTTCCCACACAACCACATCTGCATTTCTGAAGCGAACCCTTTCCATTGGCTCTCTTGTGGGCTGCAATGCCAGGTCGCCAGGGACATTCTGCACTTAAAGCTGCTCTCTCCCAGGGCCAGATGCAGCCCCGCCTGGGGGTTTCGGTGTTTTCATCATAGAGATAAAGTTTCCTGAATATGTGCTCTGCCAGCTTGTGTACAGGCTGCCGTGGTGAGCAAAACAGACTCAGCTCGGCCCCATTAATCACAGAATCACACTAAGGAAGTCATCATGGGGGTTAAATGCTGTGAAGAAAATGTGCGAAAACTTTGGGAACCTGTCATGTCACCAGTGGGTGTGGGAGATGATATCCAGGAGGTGATACTTGAGCTGAGATCTAAGCGTCCATGAGCGGTGACGAGGCAAGGCAAGGAGGGGGATGAGGGTCTCGCATGTGCTAAGCCTTGTCCCCCCAGGGGGAGCCTGGGGCATCGGGGAGGAGTCAGGTCAGTGGAGCTGGAGCCGGAGGCCCAGGGTTTGCAGTAAAATGAACCAGAGAGGGGACTGTGATGGTTAACTTCTCATCAATTTGGCCAGGCTGTGGTGCCCAGCTGTTTGGGCAAACACCAGCTAGGTGTTACCATAAAGGTATTTCGTAGATTCAGTAACATCTCCAATCAGTTGGCCTTTTTTTTTTTTTAAAGATTTTTATTGGGGAATTGGGATGGGAACAGCGCTGGGGAATTGGGGGAAGGGGAACAGACAAGTTGCTGTTGTTTTGTTCTTCAGTCTAGTTGTGGAGGACGTTGCTTCACTGGCCCAAGTTGGCACCATCATTGCGCTCTTCCCAGGTGAGGCAGATCAGTCACCGGCTTCTGATGGCTGCTCACTGCGGCTGCTGGCCGCTCACGCTGGCTGCTGGCTACATATGGTAGCCTATGGCAACCCACTGCCACAGGGGCAGCAGCCTACACCGTCGCCAGCGACTCACGGCAGCCCAGCTCCAGGTTGAGCTGTTGTTCAGCATCTTAGCTGTGGAGGGCAGTGTCACTGGCCCTCATATGTGGGATCCGAACCGGGGCCCTCTGGCGTCCCAAGCCAGTTCTTAACCATCGCGCCACTCGGCCGGCCCTCCAATCAGTTGGCCTTTTAAGTAAAAAAGATTACCTGTGATAATGTGGAGGTATAATCAGTTGAGGGCCTTAAGCACAAAGGCTTAGGTTTCCTAGAGAAGAATGAATTCTGCCTCAACGCTGTACCATGGAAATCCTGCCTGAGTTTCCAGTTTGCCAGCCTGCCCTACAGATTGCAGACTTTTCAGCCAATGGAAATGAGCCATGAGCCAATGAAATGGCATGAGTCAATTCCTTTAAATAAGTATATTCTCTTTTTTTTTTTTTAAAGATTTTTATTGGGGAATTGGGATGGGAACAGCGCTGGGGAATTGGGGGAAGGGGAACAGACAAGTTGCTGTTGTTTTGTTCTTCAGTCTAGTTGTGGAGGACGTTGTAAGTATATTCTCTTGATAGGTGGAGGGCACAGGGGGAGAGAGAGATGGGTGTTCCTTCTCTATCAAGCAGCGGAAGCCAGGGAAGGATTTTAAGCAGAAAGAGAGACTGATCTGATCATCAGCATAGCACCGATCAGAACCAGGTGGGGGCCCAGGGGAACTGGCACTGTAGGCCCCAAGCCTCTGGAAGACTCCGTCTTGGTGCCCATCCTCCAGGGCCCTCAGCCTCCCTGTCTCCAGGGAGGATGCTGAGTAGAGGCCATATGGAACCCCGGTCAGCCACTTGCTTGCTGTGTGACCTTGGGCAAGTGTTTTAACATCTCTGAACTTCTGTTTTCTCAACTGTGAACCCCTGTCACATACGGGTATTGTGAAGGCTGGGTACAAAGTGGGTGCCTTTATTCAACAACTATGTATTGACCAACTACTGTGTGCCACTCTGTACACCGTCTTGGGGAGACTCAACACTAGACGATTTTAGACAAGAGTCCTGCCGTCGTGTAGCTTAGCAGCCCAGTGGAGGAAAATGCCGTTAGTTGAATCATCACACAGATATTAAATGACAAATGTACTATGTGCTATGAAGCGGAGAAAGGAGCTATAAGAGAGGAAACCAGGGGCCCAATCTCATCTGGAAAGTCAGAGAAAGTGTCCCTGAAAACACACCAGTGTGTGTGGTGTCCCTGCCTGGCGTCACTCTGCCCCTCTCTTTCAGGTACCTGGAAGGAAACCACCTAACGGCCGTGCCCAGAGAGCTGTCCGCCCTCCGACACCTGACACTTATGTAAGGAGCTGGGCTTTGGGTGGGACATTTCATTTTCTGTCCTGGGGGAGCTGGGAAACCGATATGGAGAGGGAGGGAGGACAGCGCTGCAGGCGTCCAGCGTTTCTGCACTTTTCTCCCAGCGTGGGGCCGGGAGAGGCAGCCGTGAGGAAAGGCCCAGCCCGATGTGCCATGTCTTACCCAGTGAGAACCCCAGCCCTGGCATCACGGACCAGCCACATCATTCTCCCCCCTCCCCCCAGCTTGGGGGGAGGTGCGCGAGCCTCTGACCTTCCAGGGCCCCCAGTTAAAGTCCTGAGACCCCTCAGTCTCCAGTTTCTTGCAGGCTATGGCTGCACTTATGATTACCAAATGTATCAATAGGCACTTCTCCTTCCTTCTTCAGTTACCCAGAAAATGGTCTAAGTAGATGGTTCAAATTGAGGTTCCCTCAGGTGGTAGCTGCTACCCAACTCCAAGTCGGCCAAGACATAGGAAGACCCCCAAATGAGGAGCAGGGCGCTGGGTGTGGGCGGGACCCAGGAAACGGGGTGCTCTGAGATTGGCCCCTCAGCAGTTCCCTGCCTGTCAAGAAGGGACCCAGGAGGGTGCCAAATAATGCCTTGGCTGCTGGCCCTTGGAAGACGCCTGTCTGCTTAGGGGACAGGGAGTCCATCCACAAGCGGGAAATGAGACTTTCCGTTCCTTCAGAGTGACACAGCGCCCAACTTGGGAAAGTGGGGGGCCACTGAAGAAAGGTGGAAGAAAGCCGCCTGCACCTTGCTCCGCCTGGCTTCCCTCAGAAGCCCGAAACCAGCCTCTAGGTGACAGTTTCTCAACCTCGGCACTACGGATGCTAGGGGCCAGATCATTCCTGGTTGTGGGAGTCGTCGTGGACATGATGGGATGTTTAGCAGCATCCCTGGCCCCTACCTAGTAGATGCCAGGAGCTCCCTTCCCCTAGCCGTGGCAAGCAAAGCAGCGGTTCTCAGCTTCAGCTGATTACAGTAATTGGTTTGGATTTTTTTTTTTTAACACTGATGCTCAAGCTCACCCTAGACCAATTAAATCAGAACATCTGAGCATGGAACCCAGGCCTCAGAGGATGAAAGCTCCCAATGTGATTCTAACGCGCAGCTAGTGTTGAACACCACTGCTCTGGATATTTGCCATGAGGAGAATCTGGAGGTTGTAACTGGCAGAGGACTACACCCCCACCTACCCCATTTCCCCTAAGAGAGAATCTGATAAGAGGAGTAAATGAAGGCCAGAAGAGGGGAAGGGTAGAGGGACAGCGAAAGTAAAAGCTGATCAGGAAAACAAAGTACTCGAATTAGGAGAGATTATCTTATGTGTTATGTTTTGCTGGTAGAATGAAATGGATGGATAGACATGTAATGGGATGATTGAATAACTAAGTGACTGGATGAATGAATGAATGAATGAATGATTGTTTGAATGATTGTTTGAATAAATACTGAATGAAAAAAATGAACATTTGGATGAATGGGTGGGTAGATGAATAGGTGAGTGAATGGTTATATGGGTGAATGGCCAGATGGATGATGGAAAGATGGGGGGAAAAAAGGAAGGAAGAAGGAAGGAAGGAAGGAAGGAAGGAAGGAAGGAAGGAAGGAAGGAAGAAGGAAGGAAGGAAGAAGGAAGGAAGGAGGAAGGAAGGAAGGAAGGAAGGAAGGAAGGAAGGGAGGGAGGAAGGAAGGAAGATGGATGGATGATGGATGGATGGAAGGATGGATGGATGATGGATGATGGATGGAAGGATGGATGG